AAAAGAAGAGGTGTTTGGTATGGTTTTTATTTTGTTTTTTGGTAGAACAGCTAACTTCTCAAACAAGCCATTGCTTATAAGAACCACTTCCAACCAACAGGAATGCTTCAGTAAGTAATTTAGGGTAGCAGCAAACCAGCATTCCAGAGAAGATATGAAACATAAAAAGTAAACTTTAGCCACAGTAGCAGTAGGTCTTCATTTAAGAGGGAGATTACATTGTTTCCTTTAAATGATAAATAATTGGGTGCCTGGGTGGCTCAGTCGTTAAGCGTCTGCCTTCGGCTCAGGTCATGATCCCAGGGTCCTGGGATCGAGCCCTGCATCGGGCTCCCTGCTTCTCCCTCTCCCGCTCCCCCTGCTTGTGTTCCCTCTCTCTCTGTGTCTCTCTCTGTCAAAAAAATAAATAAAATCTTAAAAAAAAAATCATAATTTTTTCAACTCTTTTCATTTTATTCTTTTAATATTGGATTTGTTTAATATGTAGTAGAATGATCTGGTATGGCAAGTTTTTTTCTCCAGAGTCTTGGTTATTTTCATGTGTTGTTGAATAGGTAAATTTTGCTGTGTCTGTTATAGTATTTTATCTTAGATTCTAATAAAAAAATAGTCTATTATATGTATGTTAGTCCATTATATATATATATATATATCCATCTTTATATTTAGTCCGGAGAATTGAAAAGATTTTGGACTTTGAAATTGGGCTTTATACCTTTTTGTTGGGAGTCCTCGGACATGTTATTTAACTTCTCTAAACCTTAATTTTTTAAGCTTTGCAATAATTAATAATCCTCATAGTGTAGGTTTTTTTTAAGGAGTAAATTAGTTTAACCTTAGTGGTGTCTTGCTCACAGTTGGTACTCAATAAAAGTCAATTCTTTTTTTCTTTGGTAAGATCTTTTTTGAAAAATTATTTCCAGATTTGATGCTGTATCTAAATAATTTTTGTGTTTTATAAGAGTCTCCACCGAAGAGTAGGAGACATCAAAGAGAATTGTTGTCTTTTAAAATAGTGAAGACAAAAGGAATTCATTAGGGAAAGAGGGAGACAAATTTAAAAGTTCCCCAAATAATTTTTTTTAAATGTTTGCTTGACTACTCTGTGCAAAATGGTGTGCCTTGTTAGGTTGCCATTATATACTAGGAATGTGCTTTATTGAAAGTAGAAGTTTTATGCGCAATTTTTTTTAAATGTAAGATACTAACATTAAGATGACTCAGAGGAAATGTCAATCATGTGGCTAGGAAAGTCCCCCTATTCCCTGCCCTTTTTTCCTATTCTAAGCTTTTATTATATACTGAGCATATCTGATGTTGTGCTATTAGCTATTTTTCAGGAGAAGATTAATTTTATCTACCTAGAATAAGACCATCATAATTTCTAATATTTTAAATTTGGAGTAGTTAATATTTTAAATGTTGCAAGTAATATCCTTTGCAAGCCTGACTGTAAATAAACTTTGGACGTATTTGGCTCTCTTTGTCTTGTTATAAACAAGCTAATGTTAATGTATAAAGCACTGATTGTCGAAATGTGGATGTGTCTAGTGAGTTGTGAAGAATAGACATTTCAGGACTAACAAAGGCTATGAAAATGGCTTATGTCACAATATGTTACAATAACTATGTTACAAAGTTCTTTTGAGGTTTAGAAAATAATTCCATATATTAGTGGTTTTGTGGCTTCTGGTAATTGTAGTACTCAATGCAAAAAATTGGGAAAACAGGAAAGTGCAAAGAAAAAAACCCTCAATAAAAAAATCATCCTAATCCTAGAAACCAAAGAAAATCACATAACTTTTTGATGCATGACAGTGTTTTACTTTTTTCCACCTGTGTGTCTCTGTGTGTATTTACAAATTATTTTACAGAAATTATATAATGTTGGGGAGTTTGTTCTTTTTGCTTTGAAAATTACTAACAATATATTCATAGGACAGTTGTGTTTGATAAAAGAAAAACAACATGAAGGTCTTGATGGGTAGAGTATTTGTAAGCTTTTTAGGTTAGTAAGAGTGAGGGTAGAAGGATTGGTTGAAGAAACAATTAGAAAATTTAATTTTGCTTGCAATGTTCAGAAGGACTTGAAAGATCAGGGATGGGATCCTTCATTTGAGTAGAACTCTTGATGTGATCACTGCCATAGCAGCTCTTAAAAGAATTTTCCCCGGTGGATTATGAGTTCCCTTTCCAAATAGTGCAATTAACGCTTAAGGGGAGAGAGGAGAAGAAGACTTCCCTAAGATGAACATAAGGTAAAATCAGCCAGACACACATAGTTCCAGTAAATATATTGGTTATAACAGTGGTGGAATCTTAGTGTGCCAGAATTTGGAAGGAACCTCTGGCCCTATCCAACTCTTAAAAACGAGTTTTACAGATAAAGAACTTACTTATCAAAGTTGTATAACTAATTATAATTAGTATAAGAGACATGTAATCTGGCAATTGGTTACTGTTAAAAAGTGAGATTTTCTAGTTTTCTCTATTTTTGCTTTGTATTTTTCATGTCTGCAGTTTCCTTGTCTTTCTTAGTTTTCTACTTGTCTCTGTATATTCCTGTCTTTTACTTTTTTATTTCTCTTCAGTTAGCCATTATGTAGAATTAATGCATATTTTAAAATCATTGTCTTTATCAAATAATTGTCTTCTGTTTAAGTTTTTTAAAAAGGATTATTTAACTTTTATGTGTCTTTCTCAAAACTGAATAAAATTCAGTTACTCTGTTTTATGTCTATAGAACTCTAAATTAATGATACATATTTTACTATCATCTTATCATTATTAATAGGAGCCCCTGTTAATTTTATCTGAAAAAGAGTTTTCCAGTTCTTGTAATGGGAGAGTGTTGGTCAGAGTAGGGTGGATGGACAAGAATTACCAGAAAAGCCCACAGGGGAGTAGATTATGATAGAAACACTCTCACTAAAATAAGTCATGAATCGGGTGCCTGGATGGCTCAGTTGGTTAAGCGTCTGCCTTCGGCTCAGATCATGATCTCAGGGTCCTGGGATCGATTTCCACGAGTCCTGCGTTAGGCACTCTGCTCAGCAGGGAGCCTGCTTCTCCTTCTTCCTTTACCCCTTCCCCCCGCTCATGCGCTCTCTCTCTCTCACTCTCCAATAAATAAATAAAATCTTTAAAAAAAAATAAAACAACTCATGAATCTACTTGTTCCCCTTACTATAACAATTAAAATATAAATGCTAATGTCAGAGTGCTAACTTCAGAAGGAAAGAATATTACAACTTTCTTTTTGCAAAAACTTTGAAGTCCTAAAGGCAAAGAAAAAAAGCAACTAGAGGCGTATATGGGATGGAAGTTTTTAGTTAAAGCCATCTGAAAAGGAGCGCCTGGGTGGCTCAGTCATTAAGCGTCTGCCTTCGGCTCAGGTCATGATCCCAGGGTCCTGGGATCGAGTCCCACATCGG